CGAGCTCTTCTGGAGGTGTGTCCGGCGAATACACGCCACGGAATCCTTGGCCGCATTCATGGGCGCCTCCAGTTGTATACCACAGAGTGGGTACTCGGGTCCTCCATAGCGTTTGAAACACTGAATTCATTTAAAAATTAATTTACAAAACATTTTTAATAGTCATAACAACTATTACTAATCATTAGGGAATGTACTTCCGGGCGCCGGTATCTAATCACTACAGGCATTGAGTTACATAACTGTGTAAGACATTCAATACTCACATCTTTAATCTCTTCAATATTAGTGGCATTTCTGACCATAAATATAGGGAAAGGCCAGTCATTGAACATAAGGCCGTCGTTGTGCTTGAGTGTGGACTCGCCCGCAGAGTTCCACTCCTGTTGTCCGCAGTGACCATAAGTGGTGTCATCGGCGTAGAGACCAAAGCCATCGTTGGGACACGTCTTGTCGGGCGATAAGCCGGTCACCTCTGAGGTCCGCTTCTCGTCGATCACTAATACACCAGTGATTCGTTTGGGCGATGACTTGAACTGATTCAGTATATCTCTGCAAATGCGTGGATCAGTTAGTCTTAAGGCACAAACATTAAACACAAAATTGATTACAATTTAAAATATTTCGCTGTAATCACAGGTATGTATGGGTAGTGTTGACCGGTTTTGAGCACGTGATCGATGTCTGTCTGATCGTTGACTACGTGAACGACGCCGACGTTTCCGCCCTCTTTGGCTGTCATTAAGAGATAACAAATGGTTAGACAGTGAAGACATGGATGTGGTGGACATCCAGTGGTGACATACAATTGCATCCGATCTGATGCGTGGCGTTCAGACGTCTGAAGCAAAAGTAATTGCTTTCAATGGGTTTATAAATCTTGGGTTTAATGCGATCGCCATTTGCTGTCCATTCAGGAGATAATCAAACCATTAATTAAATTCAATATAAATTGTAATCAATTCATGGCATGACTTACACAATGAAATCAATGCAATAAATACGAGGAAATGAGTGATAAATGTCTGACAACTCGTATGACTGAACGTAACGACCGTTTGTCTCATTGTATATAAATTACTAGAAATGGATTTGTAATACAAATTGTGATTATAATCGTAATGCTGTGTAACAAATGGTGGCCACAATGTTGCTTGTTGCTTTTGAAACACGAAACACACGTTCAGCTATTTAATGATAGGATTGTCACTCGACAACTGATTCACACAATTGTATTCATTTGTCGCGTTCACTGTAATCGACGTCTGAATACATGTTTTAATTGTAATTAATTATAACGAAAACACTTCACAACTGAATAACACTTTCAATATTTTTCTCGTCATTTGCACACAATTTGTAAATACGTTTCGTCTGTAAATTACGTGACACTCATGGAGGGGGAGGGGGAGTGGGACCGGCAGTCAAACACACACCCACTGACTGTAGCGACCCACAAGGGCTTATGTATGCGATAACACCTATCCAGGGGGTTAGACTAACTGTCCACTCAATTACGTGATTTCCATTTAAACTATGATAAACATTTGGTTAACCCTTTAATTTTGTTTTTAAATTTTTTTACTTGTATTTCCCGTACGAAAAGTCGAGTGAATTAAAGGGTTACGGCATTAGTGGACAGCAATGGAGTGGACATTGAGTGCACGCATTGACTCCCAAATCAAAGCATACATTCGCTCATCAGATGTCACACCTGATGACAGTTCGATATGCGGTCGCATTCATAGACAATAGTACGCGCGAGTGAACAGTGGGTGGCGTATGGGCTACGAGTATGCGCTGCACACACACACAACAGTGAGCCAAAGGGTGGAATGCGTGGGANAAGCATACATTCGCTCATCAGATGTCACACCTGATGACAGTTCGATATGCGGTCGCATTCATAGACAATAGTACGCGCGAGTGAACAGTGGGTGGCGTATGGGCTACGAGTATGCGCTGCACACACACACAACAGTGAGCCAAAGGGTGGAATGCGTGGGACAGGGGATGCAGTGTACGCGTAACGGTGTGTAGTGCGGGTCGACTGAAAAGAGCGGTCAAACAATTGTCAATTGATTTTTGATACGAATATTATATTGAATTCTTTGTGCACTCGAACTGTGGGTTGGGTTTTGAATATAGCGGTCGACACGCCATTGGCTGACAGTCACAGAGAATGCCTTTTGGATGCAGTGAAGGGATAGTGAGAGAGAGAATGGGAGAGAATGGGAGAGAATGTTCACTCAATTCGATTGAACGCTTAATCGCTTTCCCTCTCAAACCCTCCCAAACCCTCTCACAGTGTGTCTCAAAGGGAAAGGCATTGCGTTTGGAAAGAGTGTGTGTTTTATGAGTGAATCTATTGTCAGATCTATAGCTAAGTCACAGTCACTGCGAGAGAGTGCATAAAAAAGGAGTCAAATCGGAGTCCATTCGCACAAAGGCTACCATTCAGTGCACACCTATTGACCACCGATTCAAACACGTAAGACATACCTGAACCGCAACACATCCCACACACCACTAACCGGTCTGTCCACTGATCCTCACGTTTCAGTTGATCCATTCATCCGAAGACATCACACAATGAGTGACACAGAAGTGGCAGCACTGGAGCCGCAGACCAATGGAGGGCCCAAACGAGGCAGAGGGCGGCCCAAGAAGGACCCCAACGCACCCCCGAAGGCCTCCCAAC